AATATTTGGTGAAGGAAGTGAAAGAAGTAAAACCTAGTGACTAAAACTGTGGACAAAATTTTGGTGAGGGATTTGAAGGAAGCAAGGCCTGATGACTAAAGCTGTGGACCAAAAAATCCGGTGAAGGAAATTAAATCAAAAGACTAAAACTGTGGACAGTTTTTTCTGAGGGAGTTGAAAGAAAAAGTTATGACTTAACTGTGGGCAAAAGTTTTCGGCAAAGGAAATTGAAGAAGTAAAGCCTAATGCCTAAAACTGTGGACAAATTTTTTGGTGAGGGAACTAAAGGAAACGAAATCTGATGACTAAAGCTGTGGACCAAAATTTTGGTGAAGGAAATAAAGGAACCAAAAAACTAAAACTGTTGGCATTGTTTTGGGAAGGAATTGCAAGAAAAAGTTATATATGACTTAACTGCGGGGAAAATTTTGGCAAAGGAAATTAAAGAAACAAAACCTAATGACTAAAGCTGTGAACAGAAGTTTTGGTGAAGGGATTGAAGAAACAAATTCAGATTACTAAAACTGTCGGCAAATGGATCGTATTTGAGTTAAAAAATCTAAACTCAAATGCAAATGGCTCGTATTTGAGTGTGCAATTTTAGTCTCAAATGCAAATGAAATGCATTTGAATTAAACAATTTAAAACAAAATATTGGTACAGTCGTTTTCTTGCCTAAAAAACTATTGTCTATTGGAGTTTGAGTCCACAATGTATGTCTTGATGTAGCGTTTCAACTCAAGAGAAGAGTGTGTGTGAAGTGAAGTGTTGTGTTTGTGTGTGTGGGTGAGATGGCCCCCCATTCAATGGAGTCGCATTCATTGATGGGTGGATGACAGCCCAGCCCATGGGGAGGACCGCATTGTGGATGCGCAGCTAGGGCAAAAGGAGACTACTCTGATTTGGGCGAGTGGGTGGAAGCTGTCGCTGCTTGGCTGGGTTCTTTGTGTTTTGTGGTTCCTCTGTGTTTGCGTTTGTGTGATGCGGTTCCTTTTGAATGCAATATGTTCTTTTCTAGTTTGCAGGTTGGATAGGTGGACAGGTTATAGATGGATAGATGGTTGGGTATATGCACAGGCTCAGGTGAACCTTGATGTCAGGGATTCCTGGTGGGCATGGTCTGAACAAAGGGATGGCTCCTTGCTCTGTGCTCAGCAATTGCCTTGTTTGTTTCTGTTTTTATCTGTTTTTTTTTTGCGTTTTTTCAGGCTCTGCGCTGCTAGCCTCTGCAGGCTTGTGTTTCCCTAGCCTTTGCAGGCTTCTGCTTGTGTGGCCCTTGTCGGCTCATGGCCTTTGCAGGGTCTTGCAGGCTTGTGTCCTTTGCAAGCTTCTGCTTAGGCTCATGGCCTTTGCAGGCTCTTGCTGGTAAGGGCAGATGACTACCATGCCAAAAGAATGACTGCTGCAGATTTTCAAAGATGGCAGCAAGCTGCTGGTTTTACACGGCAAGCAGAAAGCTTGTTGGCCAGCCCTTTGCTGGAGGGTGTGTTGAAACCATGCAAACAATGGGCGCATGATTTGCTTCACCGCTTGCTCAGCAATGGCATCTTTGCAATTGCAGCATTTTTGCTGTTGAGTTCTTTGGAAGTGTGGGATACACTGTTCAAATATGTGGCCATGCGGTGTTTGCCACAGCATCTGCAGGGGATCAGCATCAAATCATTGTTTGAACCTAGCAGAGTGAAACACATGCAAGAGTGAGAAGATCAATGCCATTGCGTTAGAATTGATGACTTTGGAGCCAGCGCTGACAAATTTTGTGGAAGAGGTTGCTCTACCTGCTGGCAGCTGGCTGGCAAAACAGAATGATAAAAAACCATCAGTGGCTTCTGCCTGACAGCAGAGAGGAAGCATAAAGATGTGTCCAAGCATGCTGTGAGCATGTACAACACAAAATACTTTGAAAGGGTGGTCTTGGATGAAGTCGTCAAAAAAAAAAATCATTCTTTGGGTGATCCAGCCACTTTGTGTGTAGGTCAGGCCTGTTGAAAGCATCACCCTTGCCAAAGAAGATGCTGCGCATTGCAAAAACTATTTAACCCTTTGCGCAAGAAGTGTTTACAGGCCACACTTTGAAGTTGCTCCATAGTGGCAATATAAGCAAGGGTGATGTTGCGCTGCTCCATGGGGCCCCGAGTGGAAATGTGGGAAGGTGAATGTCCATTTGTCACACGCTGGGCAATGTGTGTCTGTGGTGACACTGTTATCCGTTGCGTCAAGTGGCAACAACTCTGCTGTGTGGAAGGGCACAGATGATTTGGCATTTGCGCGCGTCAAGCAAATTTTAGCGCCAGTTACATATCCTGTGAACGACGATGAGACATACAGTACACTACTAGATCCCTTTACCTGCAAGAGGTCCAAAAACAGAATGTGTGAGTGAAATGCTGGCGCCAAGAGCAAATGACAGCCATTACAAGCTGATGTGCGAGAAATTTCTTTTTCCCCACCTGTCAGGTGGGAGTTGTTAGATTAGATTTTATGTCAGCCCCATCTCCCCTCCTCCTTCTCCCTCTCCTCCTCCTCGTCGTCCTCCGCCGGACCTCAACCACGACCATCCACGCCCAGTGTTCCTGCCGGACCTCAACCACGACCATCCACGCCCAGTGCAGACCTCAACCGCGATCACCCACGCCAAGTGTTCCCTGCCGGACCTCAATCACGATCACCCACGCCCAGTCTGCCCTCCCACGACCATCCACGCCAGTGTTCCCTGCCGGACCTCACCACGACCATCCACGCCCAGTAACACGACCATCCACGCCCAGTGTACCCTGCCGGACCTCAACCACAACCACGCGCGCCCAGTGTTCCCTGCCAGACCTCAACCACGACCATCCACGCCCAGTGTTGCCTCAACACACAGCAACAAACACACAACTACAAACGCACAACTACAAACACAAACGGAAACAAACAATCACGCAACCACAACACAGCACACAACCACAACCGCAACACACAATCACGGCACACAACCCGAGGACCCACAAGCAAAATCGAAAACTACAATACTCACGACCATGGAAACATGCTCCTCACTATGGCATCAAGACAAATGATTGAAATGTCATGGTGGGGATCGCTCGAAGTAAAGTAATTTGTGACAATCCACATGAGTCTCATGGTGACCCTTACAGGCCCATGTCGCTTATATTCTTTCAGCCTTCATAGGCACAGAAAACTGATTGCTTATTCATGTTGCCATGGCACCCATTCATGATGTTTGTGACAGTCATGGCTCATACAATAGTACCACCAACAGCAGTGGTTGAAAGCAGTCCCAGCCACTACCGAAAAAAATACGTTATTTTGATATAGCTAACCAGTCAGATAGCTTGTTAGCTATCTATTAGCTAATGAGTTAATGTCCTAGAAAAATCTTTACCGACAAAAGAAATATGATAACGTATGATAACTATCGTGAAGCACTAGCAAGCCCACGGCCGATCTAAGTACCCTGACAACAGCTATAGTTCATGAGGGCACGATGTAATTCTAGCTGTTTCGTACCTGGTTAGTGCTCATGAACTTCCACGCAGCGGGGGCGAGGGTAGAAGTCAAGGGTGAGCAACACGACGACGTGCAATCTTGTGCGCACTTAAAGCTGCGCTGCTCCAAAAAAATGTTTTCCCCACCTGTCAGGTGCGGGTTGTTAGATTTTACGTCAGCTGCCGTCGTCCTGCTCCGCCTCCTCCTCCTCCTCCTCCTCCGCGCCTCCTCCTCCGGACCTCAACCGCAAGTGCAGGATGGCAGTGTTCCTTGCCGGACCTCAACTGCGAGGGTCGTGTGGCAGTGTTCCCCGCCGGACGTCAACTGCGAGGGTCGCGTGGCAGTGTTCCCCGCCAGACCTCAACTGGGTAGCGTGGCAGTGTTCCTCGCCGGACCTCAACTGCGAGGGTCGCTTGGCAGTGTTCCCCGCTAGACCTCAACTGGGTCGCGTGGCAGTGTTCCTCGGACCTCAACTGCGAGGGTCGCGTGGCAGTGTTCCCCGCTGACCTCAACTGCATGGGTCGCGTGGCAGTGTTCCCTGCCGGACCTCAGCCGCAAGCTTCGGTGGGCAGTTGCGGAGCTCAACCGCGAGCTTCGGCGGGTAGTGTTCTCCGCCGGACCTCAACCGCGAACTTCGGGCAGTGTTCCCCGCCGGACCTCAACCGCGAGCCATAAGATATGCTAGATAGAACGGCAGATAAAATGTCAGAAGATACGCAGAAGATATGCCAGAAAGAGTGTCAAAAGATATGCCAGAAAGAGTGTCAGAAGATATGCCAGAAAGAGCGTCAGAAGATATGCCAGATAGGGAATGAATGTCAGAAGAGGTGCCAGAAAGAATGTCGAAATAATGTTTAAGTTTCAATACTCATGAATGTTAGAAACATGGTCAGATTGACATGTAATGGTGGGGATCACTCGAAGTAAAGTACTTGTTGTGCGGTTCAAAGTCACTGTGTTGCTTTCATCTCTACCTCAATCCTTAATCCGCCCAAACCAGCCTTCCCAACACTTGATGAAAGCCCCAGGTTGGATATCCTCCACAGCTTGCCAATTGCAGTCTCATGACATGCTCGCTCTCAAACCAAGCTGAATTGGACTATCATCTAACCATTGCGCACAGGAATTTTGCAAAAAAAACTGCTTGAAGGCAAGCAACATATTTTGGTCCTGATCTGTAGCAGGCTTTCTGGTATACCCCCTACCAAATCATCCAGACCTACGAGCAAAAGGGGCAGAGTGAGGAGAGACCAGCAACCAGAACCATTCTGCACTTGACACTCTAGACTTTCCAATTTGTGTGTAACAAACTCCATTCACATTGGACTGCCTGGCGGGCGAGGCCCTTTCTGGAGAAACTCTTCCAGTCGCTGGTAGGCCTCAGAATGCTCCCCGGGTCAATAAGTATTGCTGCCACGGTTTGATCAGGCAAATGAAATGGTTCATTAGAAGAACCTGCTGACTAGTGCTAAGTTGAATGATACGATACGGGAGGGAACAACAATTCCTCATTGACAAGTTAAGCTCCACACTCCCTCTACCATCAGCTCCATTCCAGCCTTTAGGACCACATACCTCAAAAGATATTGTTCATTCCACAAGCATTAATATCCTAAGAAAAAGAGTTCAAAAGAATAGAGGTTAGGCTGTGACTTAAAGAGGCCTTACCTTTTGTAATCTCTTCTTTCTCCTTTTTGAAGTTCATCCATATATGTATATATATATAATTATAAGGAATTGAAAGGGCAGCTCCGCTTGGGCCTAAGAGCCAGGTTGAGCTTTTCGAAAGCCAAAGAAAGAACCCAGCTCTCCGGTTCTGCCCAACTGTGCCCCCAACGAGGTCCGATCAAAGTTGCGAGAGTTGATGCCAGCAATCTCTGATCGTGGTGGCCAGAAGCCACCACTCTCAGGACCCACCTGACTGAGCGAATGTCAAAGAAGCATGTCAGCATATTCTGCAACACCCTGCCTCCGGCGACATTGAGATAATGTGCCTCATGTGAACACATGCAATTTGTGTTTGACAGGCTGTTGCTTCAAACCAGCCTCGCGGAATACATCCAGTCGTCAGACTCGCCAGTGGTTGTGTAGCCCTCCAAAACAGCATCAAACCCGGATCCGGATGTTGTGTCTATCGAGATCAAGTGTGGATCTGGAGCACAACAACTGCGTCCCTTCCCTCGGCAGAGTTCCCTTAATATGAAAACCAACTTACTCCTTGTGCCATTTATATATTCTATACCAGTTTGCTACTGGAGCTACTTTCATCAGGGCCAAAAACATCCAAAAACCATCTAGACTCGAATGTATGGCGATTGAAGTTTTCCATACTTGTCCGCCGTTAAGTAATTTCTGCGACTGGCCACCTGAATTTGTCTCAATGATTAGCAGCTGGAGAGCCAGCCAAACTGGTCGCAGCCATCAGGTTGGGCTTTGGGGGTTGAAGGTTGAAGCGTGCTGTGCGCAGAAAGTTGTGACGAGCGTGGCGAGTGTTTCCTTCTGTAACCTCGTTGTGTTTGGGGCGAGAATGACACTTTATATTTCATGATTCCCTCTTGCATCCGAGTTCGGGCATTGTTTAACATGGCTTTTGCTTGCAAAAAATAAACAAGTCAAGTGGCTTTTGTTGTCGCTGGATGCATTTTATGATTGGTTGAGGAGCTGAACGGAACAAAAGAATCATTGCTGCACAAATCTGCATAATCTGTGCCTATGAGCAGGCGCCGGTGTGATAAACACCCGCGCGGCAGCAAAGTCGGTAGGTCGACAAGTTAAGCCCCTCCACGTTTGCTGTTAAGGCTAATATTCATGAATACTCATGACTGTGTGTCATCTAACGTATTCAGTCATGAGTCCTATATGCAGGTGCTGTTAAACACGTCTCCACACGATGCCTCCCTCCTGCAGTGCACGAGATGGGCCGTGGGGAGCTCGAGCGCCGTTTCTGTTGAAGTTCTTTGTTTAAATATGTCGCTGTTGGGGTTAGATTGATACATTCATACCAAAACGGTATTATTGTGGCCCTGCCCCCAACCAATCCCCGGTATGGAAAGATTCACTCATACTTTGTTTGATCATATTGGGGATGCCACCTACCAAAGTAAGGGTTGCTTGCAAAGAGCGTGTTTTGCATTGCAGGGATCTACCACACCGTCTATTCGGAGACCCCTGGGACCAAATAATCGAATCCTCCACCACCGCCGCCAGGGTTCAGCAGGGCCAGGGGGAGGATAATGTTCTTTTCATTGGCACAATGTAACATCATGTTTGTTCATCTCCTGGGAGTGATTCTTGGTGGATGATATATCAGCTTTGATGGCCCCTTCACACAAAGGACACTATTGTGTACCCGAAAGGCAATTCCTATAAATGTTTGCAAGGTTGGCCAACCACAAACATCCACCAGCCTCTTTAAGTCTTTCCAGATTCATCTATTGTTTTGAGTATAAACACGGGAGCGTTCAGGCTGATTTTCGCGTGACATGGGGTCATCAGTTCTGTAAAGGCGGCGAAATGAACCCAAGCCTTGCAGCCTTGCCCAAACATCCTAAAGGACCTGGTGCACTTGTCTTGGCAACACCTCAATGCTTCGTGGGACGACTGGGATCACCTGCTATAACTTCAACATTCCATCATCTGGGCTCATTGTTGATGAGAATTTTACGCCATTGAAGTCTCGCGATCAAACGCCTTCAAGGACTGTCAAACATCTGGCCAGCAAGTTTTGTTGTGCTCTGCGAGACTCACTGTCGAAATAAAACACTTGACAGTATCTGATACCTGCAAGTTTCTCCTTAATTTGAAGCAAGCAAGACCAGACTTGTGCAGTGCAAAGTCGCTCTGAGTACTGCCTTGCAAAGAAAGGCTGGTCGTAATGGTTGCTTCCATGCCAGGACTGTGCTGGCTTTGTTTCGTTTGAGAGACAATCAAGGAGGGAGTCCTTGCTCTGTCATAAAGGAATGCCTTATGTGCCAGTAAGTCACAACATGTCCTAGCATCTATCAGCCTGTGTGCTTGTCGTTTGCCTTGGCATGGTCAGCGTCAGTTTCACATGTTTGGAAAACAACGACAAAATACCGCAAGTGCCTATTTACTGAAGTTGAGACAAATCAAATATTCGTTCGACTGCATTCAATTGCATACATCTCCTGCAATGTTGAACAGGAAAAATAGCCCACTTGTGAAGAATGGTGAGCAAAACTTAGATGCAAACACCACGCGCTCTCGGAAAAAGAATGTGGAGGCACTTGACAATCTTGACATTAAGAAACAACTTGCTGAATGCTGGCAGAAAATGGCAGCTCTGTGCGGCGCCCAAAATTGGTGGCTGCCATTTCATCTGATGCAATTGAGTCAATTGAGTTTCAAACTAAATATATATATATATATCTACAGTAAATACTGAACTACTTCGGAAGGAATTTTGCAAATGTGGTTTGGAAGATGCACTCCTTCTTTTGCAATGCAGCGTGCTCCTGGTGTCACTGTAACTGTAGCGGATTCTTTCGCATGGTTTTGATAGTCATGATCGATCAAGCGGTTCTTGGCAGAACCAATTTAGGTTGAAGATGTTCCACCAATTATATATGAAGGCACAGATTGTTGAGCTTTGACACGGCGCAAGGCATTCAAGCTGCTGAGTTAGAACCAAGGACGATGTGTGGCAAAGGTTGCAAGAATGTTCTTTTGGTTTACTCACAGAATCAAGACATAGATAATGGAGTTTTACAAGAGAAAACCAAGGACGGGAACAAAAATGACCAACACGTGCTATTATGCACGTATGCTGCCGCATGCTGCATGCTTTGATTGAGTTTGCACCCTTGGGAGCCCTGACCACTGTCTGAATTGCCGTCCCGAACTTCTTGAAGCCTGGGCATCTGTACAGCATTCTTGATCTTGAAAATGACAGACGGGTAAACAGTGAAGTTGAAAAAAAACACTTAGACACTCTTGTCTCTTCGCTATCTCGTGTCCACTGACAGGCAAGAACCCAAGAACCACCTCCAAAAAAAAAAAGTCTTAACTTATACTATAATTCTTCAGAATTATTCGATTCTTCATGTCTGCGGTGGTTGGCACGTTGAGCTCTTTTGCAAAAATGTTTGTAGTTTTTCAGTATCATCAGTATAAGCTGCACACCAAACACTCGAGCAATCTCCTTGTAAACGGCTTTGTCTTCAGCAGGCAGCAAGTCTGTGTTGGCCCAGTTGTACCTGTGGCAAAAAGTAATTGTGAAAAAAGGTGCAACAAAAACCGAGAGGGCGAGTTCTGAATGGCAAATTGCCAACTGAATGGAAATGGCCGGAACACGGGTGAGTCAGCATGCTGCCATAGGCGTGAAAGTTCATGGCCGTCTTGAAACTGTTATCCTGGCAAAGACCCCGCTTGTAGGGTATTGTTCACACTACAAAACCAGAACTGCCCGTCGTAGCATCATGTAGCATCTCCTCTCAATCCTGACTCTATACACCAAGAAATCTGTAGAAAAAATGGCAAAAAGAGGTAAACTCCTCTCAAAAATTTCTAATCACCGTACAAGTGCCTTCTTTTTCCTCTCTTTGATATTCTTTGATATAGATTTGGAATGCTTCGGACATTTTCGACCTGCCTCGCAAATTGTTTTCAGCGCTTGGGTCTCCGGCTCAGAGAACGGTTGCCTGCCAAAGCCGTCCACGACGCTTGCGACATGCTTGAAAGCTCAAAGCTGCGTTGGTCTTGTAACAGTGACGTTCCTTCTGCCCAGCTCTGAGACGGCTTGCAAGGACCATCAAGGACCCATGATGCAATTACAGTATGAGGAAAGGTGGAGGAAAGTCTCTCAAGTAAACTAGGCTACTCCGCCGTTAGCGGCTTCGGGGAATTTGCACATTGTGACACTGGTGGTAGCGGTAACGTGCTCGTGAGCGTGATTGCAGTCTGCACTGACAAGCAGGAGAAGGGCACTTCCCTGAAGCGAGAAGCAGAGTCGAAGCCACATTGAGATCGTATAGTCGAGGGGAACACACCATGCACGTCTCGTGAAACTCAAATCGATTCATCACCAGCAGTGAAGTCAGTTACCGCAAGAAGACCAGCAGGTATTCCATGGTATTCCCACGCACTCCACTCAGTTGACGCCAGCAGCAACAAGAAGAACTCGAAGAACTCAAGAGCCGTCAGTATGGCGGAGTGAAAACAGTTCGGTGCGTCGGCGAGCATCTTGACGCTCAACATAAATCTCAGCGAATCAAAACGTTCTAATGAATGAAGCATGAAAACAACGGTGACGTCGACAGAGACTGCTGGACCCCGTGCCTGGAGAAAAAACACCGAACCCCCCCAAAGGCCCCCTCAAGTGAAACACTGCGAGCCCAAAACCCCCCTGAACCCGAAAAAGACCCAAAAAAAAAAAGCAAATTATTCAGTGCCGCTAAACAGTGCCGCTAACGGCGGCATAGCCGTAAACTAGGATCTATGATTCAAAGACTCCTTAGTGGGTGATAACTGAATCACTTAACCGTTGGTGCTGGCAGTGCTGGGCCACCAGCTTTCCACCATGCTCCTCGTTGCAGCCATCGAATCCGCTGGACCAATGTACGCCGAAGTTCCTGCCCCATTGCTTTGATGTATTTTCGGCATTTTGCAACTTTGTGAATCTTTCCGGGCCTGTTCAAGTCAACACCTCCATTCTTTGAAGACCGACAGGTTGGTCTTCTATTCTTCCTGATAACCTGGATTGGATGCGATACAATACTCGGAAGGCTTTCGTCTTAGACAAATTATATGTATTTAAAAAAACAAACATGAAAAAATGAAAAAAAATACTTAAACCGACTGCGATGAATTCATTGCAGGTTGTTTGGCCTTGTTGCGAAGGCCCTGAAGGAAAAGCAGGTGAAGCTGCACATAGGAACGACAAGAGCGCATATCTACCAGCCTGATTTGCCACATAACCATCAGGATTCACAAAGGGCACAAACCACACTTCTCGCATCTCCAGGATGTAGCGGGCCTGCACTTTGCTTTGTGCCATGAACAAGTTGCGAAGGACAAGTCGAAACACACATTCTGTGCAATGCCCCCTGTACCACAGCGATGTCTTCACAAGCGATCGTGCTGGGATTTTAAGATTCCACTGGGCTCTTGGGACGTAAATTAAGCGCAGGACATCACACACCAAAAAGAGCCCAAGAAAAATATAGCTTCCAAGATGCTTTCAGAGTGAAGGAGTTTACAGTAAATAAGTTGACAAGCAAACTTCACCAAACCTCAACCCCACCCCTCCATGGGTTAAATAGTGCATGCAAGTTGTTGAAAGGAAGGCGAGAGTCAGAAGCCGGAGTCGAAAGGCTTTGCATAGATTCGTACAGATGCTTTTCGAGGATGATGCTTTCTCTTCAGGCGTGAGAGAACATCTCCGCGGACTCTACACAAGTATCATCAAGTATCCAGAAAACTCTTAGAAACAGCATCCCACTTCATATCAGTGGTCTCAGTTCTCTCAAAACACCCGCACATACTGTGCGGCACACAATTTTTTGGTGAGCCCGAACCACCCAAACAACAATGCAACCATTCCTCGTCAAAGCTTCTACAACACCATCCCACACGGTTCGCCAAAACAATCTTTCACAACTTACGTGCCCTGATGTCAGTGACTAACAGTCGCTGACGCTTCAAGAACATGAACGAGACTACAGCAAAAGCAGCAACAAAAACAGCAGTGCATCTGCTTTGCGCGGACCCTCAATTTTATTGTTGTTGGCCCTCCCTGCCTTGAGCTTGCAAATGCACGCACGTGCTCTTACGTAAATTCAGGGAAGAGACTGAATACAAGAGTTGAATAAGATTAATTCGAAAGTTAATTCTTCAGCAACAGCCCCCATTCAATGCGCCAGCCTCAAAGGATCAACTTGGGAGTTGATTCTGCCAGCTGTGCCAGCAGCCCAAACCAAGAATTAACTTCTGATTTAATTCTTTTTAAAGGGTGTCTGGCCCTTTCCCTCTCTCCCTCTCTCTCTCTGCCTGTCTGTCTTTCTATCCTTGTCTATCTTTCTACTACC